AAATTCATTTGTATGAACTCATGTGATTGATAAGTATGACATTGACGTATGAGGATAGCTAAAGACTATTATAACGATCAAAATTAGAAACTATTATAAATATTTTTTAAGCTTTTAATTAAATAAAGTACTTCAATCCACAAACAAATAATCACTCGCTGTGAGAATATAATTTTCTAAAAACATATTCACGATTTCAGAAAAATATCATGAATATTAAAAACAATACATGAGCGTTTGAATCATGAATTTTGGTGATGCAATTGGTGTCAATGAGTCCGGTTACTTAATGTTAGGGAATACCTAAATATTTTAACAGAAATGAAATATTTAATTCATAGTTATACGCATTTGGATTAATAAGTTTATGAGAACGGCTACGGTGCTAATTGTACAATAGTTAGCACCGTCCTAACCAAGAGAAAAACTACTACTATTTTGAATTAGTAGTGATTTAGCTTAGATGTTGTATTGATTTTATAATAATCCGTAGTGATTTCGTTATTTTTAGTAGCATTTTTTGCTAGTTATCACGGTGCTAACCCCTATAAGGGTTAGCACCTAATCCCATCCCTAAGTTTATACTTGTTCCTAACACCAAGCTAAAAGGCATTCAATAAATGCATTCAGTACTCGACTTTGACTACCTAACGAAATATTACTTTTCAACCAACTAGCACAAATAATAAGTATACTTCTAAACCAAACATAAATTATCTTAAAGGTGACAATATTATAAAAAAATTCTTGTGGATGATAAAATAAAACTCATTCAACCAACTGAGTGAATATAAAGTTATACATGATTTAAACGGTTTTATTTATCTAAATAATCAAAATGAATAATTAGATTTATCTTTATTGAGTTTTTTTTTTTTGACAAAAGATAATCTTCATTGATCAACACAAAAGGTAGTTACATCCTGGAAGAAAGTCAGGCCTGAAAATCAAAGAAACGACTCGTAGTCGGGTACAAAGAAAGGGCCTTGCGAGCCACCAAATGGGCTACCCTATTGTTACACCGGCCTACAAATCTAACACTAAACCCTGAGTGAACCGCAAGTGATGAATAATTTCAGCAAGAATAGCACCAATCCGACTATCACTAGCATCCGCCTGGTTGATTTTATCAATAATAACCTTCGCGTCCCCCTCAAACCACACCTCCCTGATTCCCCAATTCAGACATGACAAGATCGCCTCCCGTAGAACCAGCACTTCTACCACCAAGGGGTCATCAATTCCGGAGAATTGAAACCCTCTCGCCATGAGGACATCACTCTCCGGAGTCATAATAACGATCCCCCCAGCAGAGTGGGATCCCCTCCTGGTAGCCCCAGCCCACATGCAAACCATCCTCCCATCTTCCACCGAGTCTGGATGATATGGTGGGGAGGAGCGGGACACCCGATCCATTGGAAGACCAACCCATTCCTCATATTGCTGATGATACTGCCGCATCAGAGCATCGATCCCAAACTTTTTACCCTCGAAAACAACCCAGTTCCGAGAACGCCAAATTCTCCACAGGACAGCAACAACCGCCATGAGGACTGAAGGCTGAGCAATCAGAGAAATTAAGCGCTTGAGAAACAAGGGAAAGGTGGTCCGATGCAATCCTTCCCCAAGGGAATCCAGCCCCGCATGGCCCCAGAGCGCCCGGGCCACCGGGCAGTCGAGGAACAGATGCTCCATGGTTTCGAACTCAGCCCAGCAAACCGGGCATCTAGGTAAGACCGGAACATCTTTAGCAATGAGGGCTTCAGTCGTAGGAAGAATACGATTCAGGATTTGCCAAACAAATATCTTTAGTTTCGGAGGCAAATTAGCCCCCCACACCCTGATCCAACTACTCTTATCCATCCAGCTCACCTCCGACCTCCACCGTCCCTTGCGCCTATCGATGGAAACAGCTAAATGATAGGCAGACTTCACCGTGAAAAGGCCCTCCGGGGTATTGTGCCAAATCAGCCTATCCTCCATCGGCAGACGCGGTAAAGGGATGGCCTTGATGGCCTCACAAGTCGGGGGGTCGAACCACTGACTCAGCTTCTGATCACTCCATTGACCTTCCTCTTGGCTGATTACCTCCGCCACCACCGGTCCCACCTCATTCGTCAGGACTTGGGGGTTATACCGAGGAGGATCCAGTTGGAATTGAGGAATCCATTTCGAGTTGAGCAGGGGAGCAACCTGACCATTCCCAATCTGCCAACGCAACCTTGCCTCCAACAATTGACGTCCATACAAAATGCTTTGCCAACCCCATGAGGGACGAGACCGTGGCGCAGCCGAGAGGAAGGATCCGGTCGGAAAATATTTCCCTTTATAGACCTGGGCAAGAAGGGACTGGGGTTCCTGAAGGAGGCGCCACCCAATTTTAGCTAAGAGAGCTTGGTTAAAATGTTCAAACCGGCGAAAACCCATTCCTCCCTCGTGTTTACTCCGACACAGATTCCTCCAAGACACCCACCGAATCTTTGCCTGGCCCTCCTCGACACCCCACCAGAACCGGGCCACATGCTTATCCAGCAGCCTGCACAGCGAGAGAGGCAACCTAAAGCAGGACATCACATGCAATGGGAGAGCCAAGGCAATCGACTTGATAAGGGTCTCCCTTGCTGCCCAGGATAACGTTCGACGTTTCCATCCTTGGAGGCGATCAAGCAGTTTCTCCTCCAAGTACCGGAATGTCTCCATCTTTGACCGAGCAATCAGTGTTGGCAGGCCCAGGTACTTATCCTGCACCCCAACCGCCCCAACTCCCAAAATCGCGGCCAGGAATTCTTGGTCCGGCAAAACGATATTTCTACTAAAACACACTGTCGACTTGTCCAAGTTCACCCTCTGGCCACTGAGCTCCTCATACTCATTCAAGACCTCAATTAAATTTTCGCATTCCTGAAGCGACCCACGCAGGAATAAATAAGAGTCATCTGCGAAGAACAGATGTGAGATTCGCGAGGCCCGGGGAGCAACCTTGATACCCCCAAGCTTATCAACCGAGATGGCCTTCCGAAGAAGTGCAGCAAAACCCTCCGTACAAATAACAAATAAAAGCGGGGACGGAGGATCACCCTGACGAAGGCCTCTAGAGGGGACAAAGTAACCCGAGGGGGTACCATTCATTAAAACTGAGAAAGACGAGGACTGGAGGCACTCTTGTATCCATCCCCGCCAGGTAGAATTAAAGCCCATTTTTTCCAAGACAGCCAGCAGAAAGGGCCACTCAACTCTATCATAGGCCTTTTCCATGTCAACCTTTAGAGCCATGAACCCTTTCTTGCCACTTGTCTTAATTTTCAAATAGTGCATTAACTCATGCCCAAGCAGGATATTTTCGATTATTTGCCTGTCTCGAATAAAAGCATTCTGTCCCTCCGTAACAATCTGTGGTAAAAAACCCGCAAGTCTCTCAGCCATGATCTTAGTAATGATCTTATACACAAACTGGCACAGGCTAATTGGCCGCAACTGCCGCATATGTTCCACAGAATCGACCTTTGGGATCAGAGTGAGCCACGTATGGTTAAAACTACGAAGCAGCCTGCTAGACTCAAAGAAAGAGCAAACTGCCTCCACCACTGAGGGCCCCACAATATCCCAGAATGATTTGAAGAACTTGCCAGTGAATCCGTCAGACCCGGGTGCCTGCTTCGACCCCATAGCAAAGACAGTTGTGCGAACTTCTTTAGGGAGAACCGGCGCCGTGAGGCTGGCATTCATTTCAGGGGTGACAGAGCGCTCAATAGGCAAACCTGCTACCCGTTCAGACATATTCGGGATGTGATTCTCCGACGTAAAAAGATTATTATAGAAGCTGGTCGCGATACCCGCCTTACCAGGCTCATCAGTGATCCAATCACCCTCCTCATTTCGAAGCCCGACCACAAAATTCTTTTTACGACGTGTCCGGGTCACAGTATGAAAATAAGAAGAATTCTTATCTCCTTTCTTTAACCAGTGAACCCTTGATTTCTGCTGCCAGTAAATCTCCTCCGCCTCCCATTGCCTATTTAACTCACTTTCCATAGTCCGGATAGTATCCCAATCTATAGGTTGGGTCTGTTTGATCGTGTCAATCTCATTCTGGAGGGTTTTTATGTTCCGGAGAGAGTTAGTGGTGCCTGCCCTACTCAAATCATACAGCAGATGACGGAGTTTCTTAAGACGCTCCCATAACCGAAACATAGGCGTCCCTTGAAAGTCCTCCTGCCAGACATAGTGAACCATTGCCCTAACTTCCGGATTCTCTGCCCAGCGGGCATCGAAACGGAAGAGAGGTCGACAGTTCCGGGCATATAGCTTATCAGAGAGAAGGATTGCTCGATGATCAGACCCTTGATCAGTAAAATGCTTCACCAGGGAGTCCGGGAATTGATCAATCCATGTCTGCGAACACAATGCTCGGTCAAGGCGTTCACGGACGCAAGCCGCACCCATTCTTTTATTAGTCCAAGTAAATTGATCACCCTGAAACCCAGGGTCATGGAGACCCAGATTAAGAATAAAATCTCGCAAACTAGCAGACTGAGCTGTATTCCAAGAATTACCCCCCTCTTTCTCACTTTCATGGAGGATAGTGTTAAGGTCACCAATGACAACGTAAGGGCATTCAAAAGCCGCACAAATTTCTTGAAGTTGAAGCAATTGGGAAGCCCTGGTGGCAACATTACAGCTAATGTAAACACACATCACAACATAAACCAAATCTCCTTCATTAACTTTCAAACAAATACAAAAATTTGAATGATAAATGACCGAAGCTACAACCTCGGGGGCCCAAGCGACAACTAAACCACCGGAAGCGTCAATTGCATCCACAAAGAAACAACTGGAAAGATCAAAACATAAACCTCGCATACGGCGAGAGACAACACGCCGGCTCGATCGCGTTTCCGAAAAAAACACGAGATCCGGTTTATTCGAGCGAACTAAACCTACAGCTGTTTGGAATGTGAGGGATGGCCCAATTCCTCTCACATTCCAGGCCAGAATTCTCATTTATCTGACTGGGGCCACTCAAGACTGGCTTCCTCCACCTTATCAAGACTATCATCATCCTCCACAAATTGTTTTTTCGGAACTGGGGATCCCGCAATGTCACCCTCCAGTGGCCTCTTTAGACCCCCGATCGAGGGATCCAATAAATTGGTACCATAAGCGTTAATTCCCAACAGCCCTTCCTCATCCACCCTCGCAAGAGTGGGCTCTGGAGAGCGCGACTTCCGGATCCATCTCCTAGGAGATTCATCATTCATCACTAGGCCGGTTTCCAGAGCCTTGACCACTCGTCGAACACGGCCAGCCTGACTTTGCTTAGATTGGACAGCAGAATCTTCACGCCGTTTCAACTCAAAGGAGAGAACGTCATCCCCAGAGATAGTTTCCTCCGAATCCATGGCCGCGGACCGCTCCTCAGCACGTACTTCGACCGGCTGGGCCATCCCCGACGCAACAGCACCCTTCGGACCATTCTTCAAATGTCCCCCATCCATTATAGAGTCACTAGCTCCAGGCGTTGCGTTTTTCTCCATTTGACTACCATTCTTGCATTTTAATTTCCTGACCTGCTGCACTTCCGCTGGGCCACAGTCGACGGGTCCAGCACCAAGTTCTTTAATTTCCGCCGCTGCTGGCCCGCCCGAGTGGAGGTCTGGTCATCACCCTGATCCGCCCTTAGCATGGGCTGATTTTCCACTTGCCCTCTATCCGTCCCGCCCTCCGCAACCGGGACTTCATGGACGAAGAACTCGTCCTCAGATTCCTCCAGTAACACTAAACGGCGCCGACGAGAAACCTCCCTCTCAGAAGGTAGAATGGGCTGCTCCTGGCGGACCTCTCCATGCAGCAGCTGCTGCTTCTCACGACGTTCCCCATGTACCCGATGACGGGACCGACGTTGGTGAGCCCTATCTCGGGGCCGATCTTTGGCCTCCACCATGGATTCACAAGGAAGTGGAGGCATGGGGGTCGGAGCATCAGCCTTCTTGCGTATAGGCCCCTTACGTCCCTGACCTCCAAGAACCACCCTCGGCCCCTTAGAGACGGCGACCCAGAACGAGTTCCGGTTTTGATGCACGCGGGGCTCCGTCTCCAAGAATGGCATGTACGAAGTGCCCAACCAAAGTGGCGAGGGGTCTTGGACAGGTTGCTTTGTCGAGGACACAAACCCACGATCCTCCTCCATTCGATCCCGATTCGCTGCATATTCCGGCTCCTTTTGCCCCCGAATCTCCTTGTTTATCCATACCGATCGCGGAGGGTAATGGGGAGCCTCCTCCTCATCATCAAAGATCCTCCGCCCCATTTTCTTAGTAGTCATATGGGGGCCATACCGTTTTGTCCCGGAGGGTGGATCAAACCCACACGCCTGTCGAGAGTGGCCTACACGGCCGCAATGGTAGCAGAAACTCGGCAGGTGTTCATACTTCAGCCGAATCCAAAAAGCCCCGGTCTCGTCATTAGAAGCCATAAGCTGAGATCGAAGGGGCTTGGAAAAGTCGATCATGGCTTTCACCTTGATGAACTTTTGATCAGTGTCACTACACGCAAACAGGCCAGCTTCAATCACCCGTCCCAGTGCTGCAGACGCCATCTTCCTCCCAAACTGGTGAGTGTAGCACTCATCACGAACGCCCCACATCTGGATACGGAACAGGGCGATGGCTAGCTCCTCAAAGGTGCGCCGAGTGATCGAAGGGGTCCACGATCGGAGATGAAGGATCTTATCCCCAATGACCCACGGAGTTTGCTTCAAGATCCACGCCTTGGACGTTTTGTTGGGCAGGACAAACTCCAAGAATCCATGAGCAGCCTGGCTTACCCTGATGCGTCCCTGGCCTTGCCACGAATTGTTCACAGTATCACGCAGCTCTCGCAACGAAACGTTATTCACCGTGAAGAGGCGCCCCAGCAACGAACACGCCAGTCGTGTCTTCTCGGACCGGACCTCTTCCAACGAGAATTCAATAATCTGGTCCTTGGAGATGCGAGACATGGTGGATTGCTGCAAAGGCAACGCCAAATCAAAACCACTTCCCTTAGCCATGTACTCGAAATCCCCACTAAGGATCGACCAAGGGAATCAGGCAAGAGAAATAAATAAATTGCAGAAGGGGGAATCATCCCACCAAAGCATGCAAATTAAATCAGCACCATGGTGCATTAACGTACCAGCGAGGATGGGGTGCTTGCAGGGGCTTTTGCTTCGTCCGAGCTCTCTACTTCGCTCTCGAAAGAAAAAAGGCAGGGTGGAGGAAACATGACCAGTGGGGGATTTTAAATACAGTCCACCACCTGATCCCCCTAACGCAAAGTGCGTCCCCAGATTTGGCAAGATACGCCCCGCAGGTTGCATTATCGGATGAGTTTTAGAAGGTTGCCGAACAAACCGCCGGCCTGCGTTATCCTTCGGATATCTCTCAATCTTTATTCGGTTAGTGATATGGAGAGAGAGTATTCCGCAGCCAAGGCAGGGTTCCTTGCTATCAGGGAATATTTTTGAATTTTGTTGACCCACCAAGACTCCCTTCCTCGTACGCAAGAGCGGCGGAGACTGGAGTCCCGACGGTTGCGGCCTGGCCACCGGCCGGCTAAGAACGTCTGCCATGGGTCGAAAAATCCCAGGCACCTGTTGGAGAGAACTCGCCCCATTTCGGGGTCTAAGCTTGCTCTCTTTTGAACTAACCATATTGACCACCGCTCCTCTCCTCGTGATATTTCTCACCATGGGAGCAACAGTATTATCCGGTGAGGCACATCCACCTGTGACCTCCCTTACTTCAGAATCACCATCACAATTAGAACTTTCCTCTATCATTTCACTCGGAAAAGGCAAACGAAACTTCCAAACAGAAACATTAGGGAGCCGCCGCCTTTTCGGGGCAGAGAAATCTGATAGACCGTTAGTTACACATGTTTTCACCCCTGTTCTTACACCGTTTGAGATGTGGTTTCTCGTGTTTTAGACCGATTTCACGCTAGGTTGTGCTTGTTTGTGATATTTCAGGTCCTGGCAAGTCAATGAAGGTTTAGGAGAGAGTTCGGGGTCGATTGGGCGAAGATCGGGCGCGAGACAAGTCACAAAGGAGGTCACACGGGCTGCCCTGATGATCACACGGCCGTGTGAAGTAGTAGTCTGGCCGTGCGAGTTTCGCCGAGAGCAAACACGGGCAGAGCAGGACATCCACACGGCCGTGTGGAATTCTGCGTGAGCAAACACGGGCAAAGAGGAAGTTCACACGGCCGTGCCACTCTGGCCGTGCAAAGAGCCTGGAATTCGAACTAATTGGAACGCAGCGTTTTGACTCACACGGGCAACTGGGTAAGCCACACGGCCGTGCCACCCTGGCCGTGTGAGTCGGGATTTTCTGCTTAAAACCCGATTTTCAGCCAAAGGAGAGGAGGAGAGCTGGGTTTTGGATCCCAAACACCCAAGGGACGAACCAAAGAGAGAGAGGGCGATTTGAGGGCATTCTTGGAGTGGAGTTGGAGGATTTCTTCGCCTTGGAAGCTCGAGGAACAAGCCCGGACTTGAAGACTGATCATCTGAAGATTCTTACTGCAGTCTCTCTCTTCTCTATGGAGTAACTTCCCTTCACTTAGGTTTTGAGGAACCCTAGCTATGTTTGTTTGATTGGATGATTGTATGAGTACTCTGACTTGATAATCTTGAGTTCATATTCAATCTATGCATGTTTTCATGATTCAATTCTGCTTTAGTCGAGATTATTGATTCCGCTTTGATCCTATGAGAGGGAATACCTGATTAGGTCAATAGAGCACCATAGATTGATAGTAGTGGATCGATTGCTTTAGTCAAGGGTTGATTCACTGCTTTGTATCGATTGAGAACCTCTTTCGATAGAGGGAGTCTAGTTCAGAACGCCTTGATCAGTTGTTCTAGAGAAGGATACGTCCCTCTAGGCAATTGACTCAAGAGGGCCTTGTTCCTTTAGTCGAGACTCAAGGTCTAGTCAAGGATTCTCCGCATTGTGAATGAAAGTGAAACAGGTTAGAGATCATCAATCATTAATCTGGCTAGTGGCTAGGGGGAATCATACCTAAGTGAGTTCCCAACCTGTAATTAGATTAACTTTAACTGTAGTTTGCTAGAGTAGTTTTAGTTCTTTCATCTTAATCTGATTTGCTAAATAATAAACTGAAGCTGAGTAATAGTAACTCTAGAGACCCGTGGATTCGATATTTATCACTTGAGCCACTATACTGCAGTCCCTTTCATTGGTTACACTTGGCCTTTGTTAGGTGTTGTGTTTTAGAGCAGTCAAAATCCGTCACCGACTCGCCGGTCTGAAGGGGACGGGAGCGTTTTCCTCCCGAGACACGCAAAATCGCCGTCCGGCCTGGTGTATTTTTTGGGGTTCTGAGCTTCCCCTCCACCGCCTGAGTCTCCTTTAAAGTATCATCCTTCGCCTGGTTCGCAATAACCACATTCAGCATCGCCGATAGGCACGCCAGAAGAAATTGCCCCGAACGGAGGCAGAAAACGAGGAGAGAGGAGAGAGCTCCTCTCATCCCTTTTTTTTTAATTAATCTCCGTTTTCCTAGTAATCTCCGCTTTCCGATTTATCTTTATTGAGTTATTTGTCCTGGTCCTACAAATTGAGTAACACACTGAAAATTGGTGAAGTTAACCAGTATATCAGCTCCTCGTCTCATGATTGTTGAGTACAATCATGGCATATTAGCAAGAGATTTGACAATTAGAGAGTAACAGAACTAAAAACTTAAGAGAACCGTTGTTTATAGCTTGCATAAAATATCGTTGCTTCATAATAGTTTTAAAAATTGATACTAATTTGAAAAGTCTACATATAATATTGATATTTAATAATGCTATATGATATGAAATATCAATAAATAATATTTGGGTCGCGATTTATCCATCATTTACAAGATAGACATAGATTAAATTAATTATCAAACTTGAATAAAAATAATAAAAATATGAAAATCAAAGTACCAAACATCAAAGAATACTAATAAAGAAGACTTAGTGGGCTAACTAACCGTGATGGAAGAGCCCTCTTATTTTTAGATTTTGGCTTAATGTATGTTTTAATTTCGGAAGATCAAATGAATTTGTTTAGTGTAAGTGATTATAATTTTTGTCTTTACTTGAAGAGACATAGGCTCAAATCTCAACATTGATATTTATTCAATAAAAAATAAATAACTATAATGACATATGTAGCTTTTTTATTTATACGAAATATGAAATTAAGAAAATTAAACTCATGAAATCCATTGTAGAGATGCACGATTCTTTGCTGAGCAGCAAGGTTGTTAACCCGATTTAGCCAATTGGCGAGGTCAATCAAATGGGTTGAGGGTTAATGGGCCGACCGCTTTAGTCCGGATATATGAAAAGTCATTATTTTGTTCATACATTTATAAATTATATCAAATTTTATCAAACTTATGAATAATAACATATAACATTAAACCAAAATAACTTGACGTGCCTGGATCCAACTTATAGTGAAAATTCAAACACTCATATAACATTAGGGATGACAATGGGTCGGGTTTTTCCAAACCCAAACCCATGGGTTTATCCGTGAAAAAAACCTAAAACCCAACCCAACCCGCTGGGTATCCGTGGGTTCATGGGTACCCACGGGTTTTTGTCGTAAAAAATTTACAATAACAAGTTCCTATCAAAATTAAAGTCAAATATCAATCTCTCAATACAAATTATCCATATATAAAACACCATTCTAGAAAATTCAAGCAAATCACAAATTAACTATATAAATTGTTCAACACCAATCTAGAAAACTCAAGAAAATTGAAGCAAATCACAAATTATCCATAAATAACATTATTAATTGAAAGCTTCTTCCTTTCAATTAAGTTTCTTCACTCTCCACTCGATAACATCAACTTCATTCTACACAATTTGAAAGAAAAAATTAGACATGCCTCCACAAACATAAATAAGATTATTGTTTAGAATATTAAATATACCGAGAAAATTAACTATATGGGTGTGAGCGGGTACCCATGGGTCGGGTTTACCTAAACCCAAACCCAACCCAACCCGGTGAATAGTGAACAGGTTTAAACCCAAACCCGGTCCAAAACCCGTCAACACAAATTTTACCTGCGTTGACCGGGTTGGGTCGGGTGGGTACCCATGGGTTCGGATTTTGTTGTCATCCCTATGTAACATCAATATTCAAATTTCCAACATAGAATTAAAAAGATTGGGTTACGCAAAAAAGAAAACCTAAAAAATAGGCACATTTCGCAAACCAAAGAAAAAAAAAACAATATAATTTGACCTCCAACGTGTTACCTTGCAGCGATCGACCCAACAAGTATGTGTGATCCATTTTTCTCACCAGATCAGAATCAAAAGTGGATCACCCGCGGGTGGTTGACAAATGACAACCTTCCTGAGCAGAAAACCGTAATAATACCTTCAATTAGAGACTCCACAAGTAGTTGGGACTGGCAACTTTTTTTTTAATTAATTAAAAAGAATTTCCGAAGTCGAGAAGGAAAGGGACAAAAGAAAAGGGAAAAAAAGCAGTTGGTAAATATTTCGTACCAATATAAAACCTATAAATTATCCTCTCGGTACATCTTTTTTCCGGTTTTCTAAGCCATTCGGTTTCTTTCTCTCTCTGTTCCTTTTTCGTCTCCGTTACTTTTTTTCGTCTCTGCTCCCTCCGCCGGGAAACCCCTCAGCGCTCGCCGGGAAACCGCTCGTTTCTCCCCGTCGGCCCCGACGCCTGTTTCATCGCTTCAAGAAGCTTCCGCTCGTCGTTCGTTCGGTGAGAATTCGAAGATTCCGGGGATTGAGGTTTGTCGGATTCGCAGTTTCCGGCTGGAAGAGCGGTCAGATCTCCCGGCTTGGCTCGCGGCCTTCTATTTTACCGCGTTTTCAGAGAATGTGGGCTGTTAGGTCCATAGTAGAGGCCTTGGGTTGAAGTTTCCGTTGCGGAGATCGTGATCTAGGGTTTTGGATCCCTCGTGTGTTATTTCTTCTTTTGTTGATTCCGGTTTGGTGATTAAGGGAAAGAAGAACTCGACGAAGACGGAGGCCTACAGAGTGCCACCGAGGAATGAGATGGTATGTGAATCAAATGCTTGGCCATTGTTGCCCGTTTTTCAATATATTTTTTTTTAATTTTTAAAAAACTGGTTGATTTGAGATCTTCGAGGAGGCATAGCAATTGTTTTCTTTCTTTCTCTGATTGATTCAATTGATTGGGAGGCTCTCATCCTTTTTGCAGCTCCTGAGAATTTAGTTTCTGGTTACTATTGCTTCCTGAAAACAAATTTAGAAATTTCTTGAGTTTTCTTGTTTGGGTAAAAGCTTATCCAGGCTTACTTCAAATCTGTTGCTTGGTGTGATCAGCCAATAGGGTGCATGCAAGATTAAATTCATGGTGCTTCGATAATATTTTTGCCCACCATTAATCTTTTAGGCGGAAATTGCTTATTATAATTGCTTTCAGGGGTGAGTTGGGTGGAAGGTTTTAAGCTGTGTACTTTAGTTGACTTGTACAGAAACTACCGTGTGAATGCATATGGGGTTTTATTTTGAGGATTTGAGGGGCATGCAAGAGGTTGAAAAACTGTCGAGGAACCTTGCAGAGGGTTCATTAGATGGAGTTTGGTCACCTATCTAAGGCTTTTGAGTGTTTGGAAATTAGTGCTGGGTTCTTTGGAATTAACCATCTTTTGACGAAATATTCAACATGGGTCCAGCCAGAGAGGCCTAGTCCCCTGCCTCGGTTGTGGCGATGCATGATTAGTTGACGTGGTCTTTTGTGCCTTGACCCAGTGATTGATGCCTTCTTTTGAATTCAACTATGGTGCTGTTTCGTTTGAACATTCTAGGGAGGTATTCTTTTTGGGCTTTTGTAGTTGAAAGTCGCCTCCTCATAATGGGGGCTAGGACAGTAAAGAGTTATATCAACACATGATTGATTAGGAATCATGGTTGGCTTATCCAACACAGAAGCAGCAGAATCTCTTGACTAAGCTACTTTGAGGTGGGGCAAGCAGCTGCATATTGATCGGTGTTCTGTTACTAGGATGAACTGCCGCGATAACTTCTATGCTTAATGGGTTTATTCTTTCTTGATGATTGGAGATTCCCTGTATAATCTCTTTTGGAGATCTCATGGGCACATCTCTATCACTGGGCGTGGCTCCCGTTAATCTAGAAGCAGTAGCAAGCCCTTCTTTGACTTGCGTGCTTAATGCGAATGCCCTACTTACCCTATCGTGTTTAACTGAGTTGCAGTATGTTTACAACTGTGACGCTAAGAATTCTATTTCTTTCACCCTCTGTTTAAGTTGATATTTACAAAAACATTTTCTGATCCCATGCTTCGCCGTCATGATCTTTAGTGTGATAATGTTTCTTGTCTGAAGGTGGAAGGAAGGGTCTGCTTATCAAAAGAAGCTGGAAATGGGTTAGACATTATTAAGAGAAAGAGGCTTCAGCGGATGAAACCAGTAAGTAGTACAGAGACTGTTGGTATTCCCAACATGATGAGCAGAAGTGGAGGAGATGCTTTGAGGGCTTCAGGATCATGTGGTGTTAGATTGCCTGGTACTGCAGGTTCATTTGCTCATTCAAACAGCAGCACGAATGGAAACGACACTTTCTTGAAGCGGAAGGTGAATAAATTTGATACAAGTGACTTGCAATGGACAGAGAAAATTCCTGAATGCCCTGTGTACTATCCAACGCGGGAGGAGTTTGAGGATCCTTTAGTGTACTTGCAAAAAATTGCTGCCGAAGCTTCAAAATATGGTAATTCATATCTTTCTCGGCTCCTTGATGGTGTTTATATTGTGCTCTAGAATGTAATGGATTCTTAGAAACTGGAAATGAGTTCTGTTAGTTGGTTTGGACCAAGTCATTATTGCTGAAAATTATGGACCTTTGAGCATGATAATTCCTTCATTACATCAGTACTCTATTCTACATGATAATTCATCACTGCGTTAGTACTTCTCTCAAATTTCTCCTTGTTATTCGTTTTTTAGTGTGTTTTGTGGGTGTATTTATGTTGTTATTATGAAGCCCCTATCTATTTTAGGCTGGGCTGGACTCTAATATCTACAAACAAGTGACGGAGTGGAGGTTCCGCTGACACCATCTTGATGGCAACAGCTTGTTTACTAATTTAGTGTTTATACGCTAGTTTCTCTGATACTATCTTGATGGCAACAGCTTGTTACTAATTTGGCATTCATTCTTCTCTATTTTGTTACCCCCCAGGTATTTGCAAGATTATATCTCCTCTGAGTGCTTCTGTTCCTGCTGGGGTTGTATTAATGCGGGAAAAAGCAGGGTTTAAGTTCACCACTAGAGTACAGCCCCTTCGTCTTGCAGAGTGGGATAGTGATGACCGGGTCACATTTTTCATGAGTGGAAGGTGATTTTTATTGGGTGTATACATATACTCGTTCTCTTCCATGTATGTGTGGCTTATCCGTTTAATTGTTGATATAACATCTTTCAGGAACTATACATTCCGTGATTTCGAGAAAATGGCGAACAAGGTTTTTGCACGTAGATACTGTAGTGCTGGTGGTCTCCCTGCAACGTACATGGAACAAGAATTCTGGAAGGAAATTGGTTGTGGAAAGACAGAAACAGTTGAATACGCATGTGATGTTGATGGAACTGCCTTTTCGTCCTCTCCGACTGATCCACTTGGAAGTAGCAAATGGAATTTAAAGGTGTTGATTTCACTTCCCCCCTCACAACTCTCCTGAATAATGGTACAATCAGATAATACTTTATCTGGCTTGATCATGAGTGCTACAATTCTAATTCACGTGCTATGGCAATGGATCACATTGAATCATTGATACTGTTTTAAATGCAAACTTGGAACTTGTAACGTTGCAATTCGTAGTAGCAATATTACGCGATGGATGCGATTTTCATGGTGAGAGAGATTTGATAGTATCAATTTGATGAGAGAAGTAGAAATTTGTTTTTATCTTGGTTAAATTTAGATGTGGTTCTCAAATATCAAGATGTTTCTTATGGTTGTCAAAGCTTAGCCAAAATCTGACATCTATGATGCTTGTTTCTTATGCCATGCCATTGTATTGACTTTTGATTATTGTCTGTTCCTTTTAATGCTATTCTCACCATTATAAAAAAAAATGCTTGTTGGTGTAATATTTACAAATATAGTTGATGAGCTTCTTAATTGGTGCAATTCTTTGATTCTTATCAGTGAGCTTCTAGAAATAACTTTCTCAATCTCCGTCTTGCTGATTGACTATATTTTGTCTTCTCAGAATCTATCACGGCTGCCAAAATCTGTTTTACGTCTTCTGGAGAATGCCATTCCAGTAAGAACTCAATCCAGCTTCACTTTTGGCCTTTACTTAGTTGCATCCTGTTCCTCTTTTGCTTATGTTATTCTTGCTACAGGGGGTAACTGATCCAATGCTTTATATCGGAATGTTATTCAGCGTGTTTGCTTGGCATGTGGAAGATCACTATTTGTATAGGTACAATTTAACGCTTCATTTGGCTTTGCACTCGGACATGTTGATTTTTGTATTATATATTGAACCCGTTTCATTAATATTTTATCACAGTATCAACTACCATCACTGTGGGGCTGCCAAAACTTGGTATGGGATTCCCGGCCATGCAGCACTTAAGTTTGAAAAGGTCGTCAGGGAACATGTATACACACACGATATTCTGTCAGCTGATGGTGAGGATGGAGCTTTTGATGTGCTTCTGGGGAAAACAACTCTATTTCCACCAAATATATTGTTGGAAAATGAAGTCCCTGTCTACAAGGCTGTTCAGAAGCCTGGCGAGTTTATCATCACATTTCCTAGAGCTTATCATGCAGGGTTTAGCCACGGTATGATCTGTGCGATATATTAGGTACTTACATGACTAAGAATTTATTGTCGTTTTGTAGAATGCTTATTTCATCTTCGTACAAAATTTATAGGTTTCAATTGTGGGGAGGCTGTGAACTTTGCGATTGGTGATTGGTTCCCTTTGGGAGCTGTGGCCAGCCGGCGCTATGCCTTCCTCAACAGGATGCCTTTGCTTCCTCATGAAGAACTTCTGTGTAAAGAAGCGATGCTTCTCTATCCACAGGTGGATCTTGAAGACTCGAGTTATTCTTCCTCTGGAGACTTGGCCTCTCAGCATAGTGTCAAAGTCTCCTTCGCTAAACTTATGCGTTTTCAGCATCGTGCTCGCTGGGTTCTATCCAAATCAGGGGCATGTACTGGCCTTCAGATAAACACCTATGGCACTATCCTCTGCAGCTTATGCAAGCGGGACTGCTATGTAGCTTTCATTAACTGCAACTGTGATTTGCATCCTGTGTGCCTTCGTCATGGTATTAATCTCTCATTCAAAAATTACAAGTGTTTTGAGTTTTATTAGTTTCTTTCGGTGCTTATGCTACTGGTTATGGATATTTGTTATGCAGATGTTGCATCTCTGGATTCCGCTTGTGGCAGAAATCTTACTCTATTCTTGAGAGAAGAAATTATAGAACTGGAAGCAGCCGCCAAGAAATTTGAGGATGAAGATGGTATAGTGCTGGAGATGCAAGAGTCTGGCTCCAGTGACGATTGGTGTTTGTATCCTTCATCTGATAAGTTGCATAATGACATGGAGGATGGATATAATCCTTACTGTGAAATAAAATACGAGTTTTGTGATCATTCCGCATCGGAAGTTTCTGCTCATGTGGAATCTTCTTCGGGGGAGAAAGTAGAGTGTTCTTCTTTGGTGACTGATGTAAGTTGGAGCTTCACTTGATACCTGTTTGCATTTTCTTATACCTTATTTGGCACACTTAGGTGACTGATGTAAGTTGGAGGTTTACTTCCTATACCTTGATTGTTTAAGCATCTTTAAATTCTTAACAGGAAAAGGACCTGCTTGACCTGAACACCATAGGGAGTATTGACTCTAGAGATCTGATGCAAGAAGAATTGGACAGGACCCTTGGGTTCTCAAGGTCATCGGAGTTGAGGGATACATGCTCAAAGATCCAGCAGGGGAATAATCATGCTGTGGAGCCTAGGCCTCGTGTAGATCATTACAGTGATGATTCAGATTCAGAGATATTTAGAGTTAAGCGTCGTTCTTCTCTGAAAGTTCAGAAGCGAGCTGTTAGTGATTCCTCTTTCCCCAGGAACGATCCTGAATGCCAGGTACAGTTTCACAGTACAGAGGTCTCATTTGATTTTTCAGACAATAGTTAAACTTGGATGAAACCTGAAATGGGTGTTCTAGTTTTAGCTAATCTAACAAAGTCAAGTGAACATTTCTCTGAATCTGTTCATTTTTTATAAGATGAAGGAAACATGTCCTATATGCCGGATGTTTCCAGTTAATGCTATAATGCTTACATTGTTCGTTACTTGGCTCAGGGGCTTAAGCGACTGAAGAAGCACCATGGGGATGGAGGAAGGTGCGGGCAGTCAACATCTTCAGCGTCAGAGTTCTCAGCTCGGGTTTGTGGATCTTCGAGTCGAAATTCTTTGTCCTACTCGGAAGGTCGGGAAGCTTCTGGCAGTAGTAGTAGTGTCTTGAAAGATAGGGACAGATTGCCTAGGGGAAGCCCAGCGGCTCCCATCTCAATAAAGATCAAGAAGGTCGCCACCGAGGAAGCATTGAGTAGGCACAGAGAGTATCAAAGACTGGGTGGATTCCATCATGAGCTAGGCAGAAGAAGGGAGGCTGCTCCCCCCATAGAGGTCGGGCCAAAGCGTCTCAAAGTCAAAGGCCCCTCCTCGTTTCTAGTTTCACAGAGCAGATTAGATTGACTTTCATCTGGAGCAAGCAACATCATCA